GCTCAGATCGATGAACTTAGAGCTGCTCTTGGGCCTCTGTCTAGTCGAAGTTTAAAGTATTGCACTGATGCATGCCTGAGGAGATATTTGATAGCTCGAAACTGGAATGTTGACAAGTCAAGGAAAATGCTCGAAGAGACGCTCAAGTGGAGGGCAGCTTACAAGCCCGAAGAAATCCGTTGGGTTAGTTAAATTATGTCATTTTCCCTGCCTCAAACATCTAGAATAACAATTTTCGCAATCATAATATCTCTTGTTTTGTTTTGTTTTTTTTCATTTTATTATCTTCCCTTTGCTTCCTGCTGATTGTGCCTTCATAATGTGAATTTAAAGGTGTTTGAAAGCCATGGTTTGTTTTTTTTTAATTTAAAAAAAGGGCTCATAAATTGTCGTGATGGCTATGGAGTTAGAGCTACATAAAGATCTAATTAATGGATAGTAAATTACCAATGATTATTTTCACCTTCAGTTCTGTTTTTATTTAATGTATTTCAAAGTGAACTTTTGTAGTTTTGCTAGAAAGATTACTAAGAATAAAAAAGATATTGTTATTTTTGTCATTATATATATGTGTATATATATATTTTGTAAAGATTACTCGTACATGCACGGCTGTATGCCATAAAATCAAGATTTTTGAAGAAGCATTTTTCTCATACAGCATGAAGTAGCATTTGAAGGAGAGACTGGGAAAGTATCACGAGCAAATTTTCACGATCGACATGGAAGATCTGTGCTCATAATGAGACCAGGAATGCAGGTATTTTATATTTGCTCCCCTCCCAAGTCCTAACCAATATAATTTAAAATATTCATTAATATTGAGAATTCAATATTTTAAAGCCAACATGCTCAACTTGTCAAAGCATTTGTCATATATTCCCGACCAAAAGATTCTAGTTCAAACTCCATCCCTACATGTTTTTTATCGGAAAAATCCATATTTTAAAATAATGTTAGATAAATCACCATATTGGGACAAGTTGGAGTACAGGTAAAAACACCTGGAATAAGGAAAATATCTGAACACTCTTAAAGATGTAGCACAGGAGTCACGTGAAAATCAAAGAGAAATGAACAAAAGTGGTCCATTTACAATTTCTAAGTGCTTTTTTGGCTTTTGGGTTTTGGCATTGAGTATTTTTCTGACCATTTCCAGTTCTTCTGAAATGTTTCAGAACACAACTCCATCAGAAACGAGTGTGCGGCATCTTGTGTATCTTTTGGAAAATGCAATTCTAAACCTTGGGGAGGGTCAAGAACAAATGTGTTGGTTGATAGACTTCACCGGATTTACAATGAAAACTAATGTCTCTGTCAAAATAGCCGCAGATGTCATCAATGTTTTGCAGAACCATTACCCCGAGAGACTCGCCGTTTCACTCCTCTACAATCCACCCAGGTTTTTTCAAGCATTCTGGAAGGTACTCTCTCATCCTAACCACTTGTAACTCTAAAAGATTATATAATTTTTGTCTAGGCTAAGTATAAGTCCCTAATGTTTAGGTGTTTTTCTTTTAGATGTAGTCCTTATTGTTTTATAATATTTTATATCATTTTTCAATTTAATCCCTCACTCTTAAAGTTGGCGGATAAGTTTATATAGAATAATACTTAGTGAATTGGTAAAAATCTAGAGGAGGAAAAATGTCATCTAAGAGAGAGTTACTAATTTCTTCACCAAATTTCTTAGGAAATTGGTAGAAGTTTTGAGTTCTTTTTTCTTGATGAACTTTTTTCTCTTCTAAATTTTCATCAATTTACTAAGTATTATGTCATGTAAGCTTGTCACCAGCCAATTTTAACATTCATATATGATCGGAGACTAAATTGAGAAATATTGAAACACAAGGGACTAAATTGAGACTTTTTAAACGATAGAGATTAAATTGAAAAATCGTCCGGATTGAAATATCTTATTGACCTTTTTGTTTATTAATGCAAATAATTTTCTTTCAAATAAGTACTTCTATAGGCTTCATATGCAGCATCATTTAACTTTATTAGAAATCAAATTTGTCCTGAACATTAAAAAGTTTCATAATCATGATTAAGTTAGATAGATGGTAAAATTTTACGTTTTAATCCTTTTTATATATAATATTTCGATTATAAAAATTTAAGGAGCAAATTAGAGAGAACTAGAAAGGCAATTGCCTCACTCCGTCGTGCATTTGTGTGTATTTTGTTCGATGAACTGAACTAGGTGATTCTTCCAATTTTTGTAGGCCATAAAGTACTTCTTAGACCCAAAGACATTTCAAAAGGTAAAGTTTGTTAATCCCAAAGACAAAGGAAGCATTGAGCTGATGAAATCATACTTTGACATGGAAAATCTTCCTAGTGTCTTTGGGGGTAAAGCCACTCTCGAATATCACCACCAGGAGTTCTCCCAGATGATGGCCCAAGACGAGCTCAGAACTGCCCAATTTTGGGGCTTCGATAAGGCCCACCACATTGTCCATGGGCCTTCTGGCCCAGAAGTCCCACCAGAGCCCATTACTACTTCAGCTAACTAACTGGTATGCCTCATGCCCTTCAACAGCTTTTTCGAATTCAAATAATCAACTTTTCCTTCAACTACTCATCCATCACTAATACTTGCAGCTGAGTGCTAACTAACTATGAGAGTGAATGGTTTATGTTAACTTATGAGGTCAACAGAGCCCAATGATTTATTAAATATATTTGAAGACACATCTTCTTGTTCCTTCTTTAGAAGAATATCTTTAGAAACTCATAATTTGTTTCTCGCTAGAATAGTTGCACGAAAAGGTTTACTTGACCTGTCTATAATTACTAGACATTAGAGAAAGATTATATCTTCGATAATGGTTTCGTTTTTAATTTTCTATTCTCAAAAGTTTTTACTTGTTTCAACAATTTTTTTGCCATGATTTTCACCTTTCTTAAAGAAATGTTTGAAGTCTCAATTTAGAAAAAATGGAAACAATTTTTTAGAAACTACTTTTTGTAGTAGTCCAATTTTGACTCGAGCGTAGAATTTGAAATTTGGAAATAGTGTCTCTAAAACCGAACCATTGTCAAATGGAGCCTCAAATCTTCTACGTGGGTTATGTTATAATAGACTTGATATATCTTAATATTCAAATGTCAAATGGTCATATATCTTAATATTCAAATGTCAAATACTACCGACCAAATCAAATATAAATATTGATAAATATAATAAGAAAAATGTGGTAAATTTAAAATTAGTATTTTATATTAACACTCCCTAACCAGAAAATCTAATGATTGTATATCCAAAATTCATCGAGAGACGGTTGTACAAATTGAATAAAAACAATTCTAATTGGTACCTTGCTAATGTGTATCACTATTGATCCTAAACCTTGCACCTTAAAATTGGACAAATATTGCAACCTTCACTTTTAATTTTAAAAAGTGCGGCAATTCTCTTATAGATTTTTATTTGAAGAATGATATGAAATTGATAAAATCCGGACAAAAATAATATTAGAGCTGTTTTTTATTAGATAAACATATAAAGTAAAAATTGCGATATGGTCCAATTTCAGTCCAATTTGGTGAAATTAGAACAAATTTGACATAACCCTAAGTTTTAAAAGTAAAATCTGATTTTTTTTTCCTTCTCTTTTCACTTTTTCCCTTAAAGAATTAAAATTCATAGAGTGAGGGAAGCCAATAGCCAGTGATGCGACGGAGAGGGAGGAGCAAAAAGGAAACAATTTTTTCATTTTAAATACCACATTGCAAAATGCATATATTTTTATCATGTCGCTGTTCAAAAATCAATAATAAAAATTTTATGCAACTCGAGCGGATGGAAGGAATCGACTCAAAATCTCATGATTGGAGGTATATGTCAATTACCTACATCTTTTACCAAAAATTTGGAGATTAAATTCTCACTCCTAATATTATTGAGCTAAAAATAAATTTCTACTATCATCCATGTAATTAATGAGAATGAAAAAAAGGTAACTTCATGACTAAAGTATAGCTTTTAAAAGCTATAAATAAAAACTCAAGTAATTTTTAAATAAAAAGCTACAAATAAAAACTCTAAGTAATTTTTAAATAAACTAAATTGTTTTAAAATCAACAAGTAATTGACATATGTTTCTACTCAAGAGATTAGGATGCTATGATTACAAAATTGTGAATTTAAAAAAAAAAGTAAAAGTTGGAGAGATTCGATGAGGTTAAGAACTTACTATATTAATACAAATTGCTCAAATAATTGAACACACTCAATCGCTCATTTGTCAACGTTAACATGTATGAAGAAACATTATTTATCTATTTTTTAATTTAAAAGGATCATCCATAATATTCTATCCCTTTGCTTAGAATAATTTATTTAAAAAAAAAATCCTCAAAGTGCTCAACTCATCAGTCAAAGAACTTACAGAGGTAAAAAAAATTCAGAAATAGAAATTTGAAGTACTCAAGACTAGCAAAGTAAGAACATCGACATCCACATTTGACATTTTCATCCAAATTTCTGTATACCTATAATATCCATGAATCCACAATAAAATTGACAAGATATTAAAAAATATCATTAATGTGGATACAATACTAATATTAATAAATTATAACTTATTTGAAAAGAGTAAAATATTTGTGTTATTTTAAATATTTACTATAATTCTTTTATTTTATAATTTATAATTTATATTGCTACTGAGACATCAACGCAACATTGATATTTAAATTATTAATCAAGTTATACAAACTCAACCCTATAATTCAAACATTATTCATCTATTTTTTAATTTAAAAAACTTCAAGGGGGAGACACAACAAATAAATTCATAGGTATTTAGACTCATCCACTTCCCTAATTCATGTGAAGAAGATTGGTTAAGATCAAAATTGAAATTCCTAATGGTAGGTTGAACTTAACTTTCTGCAGCCAATGAAGGATTTCATTAAAAGAGAGTGAGCACCAGAAAAATTCAAAAGCAAACAAAACCATATATATACTTCATTACATTCACAAATACCTATTTTCTTCTTCCCCTGTATGAATATGATGATATTTGATTTGATCAGAGCTCACTGGAATACAGGCATTCATCTACAAGCTGACGCAGATTTGGATTTTCCAATGCAGCTGCTACTCTTTCTTTATCATTTAGCTGCTTATTGACTGTTCTTTCCCCATAATTAAAAAACAACAAAACAAAACAAAACAGATTTGAAAAGAAAAAACACACATGATCTGCATTAGTATGTGTCCATGGTAACTAGAAGTAGGGATATAAGGAACCGATCAAACCCAATTAACTGTACTAAATATAACTTTCAATTTTGGGAGTGGCATTGTTTAGATAAAATGTAACTTTCTGTTTTTCATTAATCAGTTCAATTCAACTTAGTTCAACCAAAAACTGAACCGGACTGATCGATCAATACCCTTAACTAGAAGTATTAACTGTCATATATTACTATCATTCTACTAAGTTCAACCTTTGATTTCGTTTTTATTTAAGGGATATCTTGATCAAATAACACCTTAGATTGTTTTAATCTCACCTGATTCTTCATTTGCGTGGGATCCTGGAGATACTTTGATGTCAACCTGCAAAATCCATAACCAGACTCAGCGGATGACAAAAACTCGACCGGACTCGAGAATTCTTCAAGTTGGTTTCATGGCTATCTGATCAGATAAGGCTCTTTGAAGAAGACAAAAGATTCAGATGGATTTATTCAGTCCATTTCCATTATATATTCAGAGAAAATTTCTCAAATGTTTTCTTTGATATTTTCTAGATTAATTGATCATAAAAAACTATTAATTATTTTTTAGGTTTAACTCAAATGAAAAGCAAGATCAAACCAAGATACACCTTTCCAAATAAGTTTCAGAATTTAAAAACAATAAAAAATTAAGAATAGTTCCTTAAAAATAGGACTTTTGGAGATTGTTTGAACAGATTTTTCTTTTTTTTTAATATAAACAAATAGTTGGATAGCTATTTTCTAAAAGTTCACTTTTAATGCGTTTTTTTGTTATTCGTATGCTTTCATGGATAACTTAATTTCTTGGATGGTAAGTTCTAATGTCATAGCTTCGTAAATGATGAGTTAATATGCATAATAACAAATCATCACAAGTATGAAAAACAATTTTGAAACTAATAATTAAAAAGAAAATCTATAAACAGTTAATCGAACAAGCCCCAAGACGATATCTAAAAAGTACACCCAAACAGTCCTGAGACAACAAGGTACTTCAAAATTAATTTAATATCCAGACACAAATCACAAATCACAAGTTTCATCAGTATCTGGTGATTACATCAAGAAGTAGAGTGGAGACTGAAATTGAACAAACAGTATTCCAAAGTTTCAAGTCCATTGCTCAAGAAAGGAAAATGAACTGACCTTGTAATGTGGGGGGAAGAAATGTTTAAGTTTCACTCTCAGACAGAGACCAATCACAGTCGCCATGCTACAATGTTGGATAGTCGGAGTGAAAGTTATCCTATATGATAAACAACAGTTCAGCAAACGATTTAGGAATTCAAAATGCGAAGGCTGCGAAGGCATTTCAACCAAAATTTTCTAGAGTAGGAAATCTTGTTAATGCGTTTGCTAGTGAAAATGAAATGATTACGAATCAATAATCTCAAATTATCTCTCAAAATCGAAGAATTAGCACAGAAATAGAACATAATGGAGTTTTTTCGACTCCGCTTACAGGATACGCCCGAGTTTCTCATCGACGGTGATGGATTCCTCTGAGAGAACACTTAGCTGCTCTAACGAATACGGATGTTCCGGATCTCTAATATCCCTCACGAAATGTGCCAAAACTCGAGTCAAGGACAAGAAATTTGCGTATTCACAACTGAACATCAGGAAGTACTCAATTTCCACAAAATCAGCAAAAATATATCCGAATCCAGCAAAAAACGCAGAGACAAAACAGCGCCTAACTTCCTAAATCGAATTGAGCTCGAGAATGAGGTTGAAAATTAACCTACAAAGAAAAAGGGAGAAAACAGGATGAAGAGAGAAAAGGATATCATAGATTTCGAGAGGATCAACGGCATCGTCGGCGTGAAGATCCTCGGAGCGAGCGATCCGCTCTTTCTTAGCGTGAACCACCGGGTTCGCATTGATCAGGCCCAGAGTCATCTTCTTCTTTATTCTCTGGGTGTGAAAACTTCACAGATTTCTTCCGCGTCTCAAAATGGTTTTGAGGGTCTAAGCACGGCGGTCACCGCAGAAGTAGCGTGACGGTCCAGTGAGAGAGAAGCACGTATCGTGATTTGTTGGAATTTTGGCTTTAATTGATGGGTGATGGAAAAAGCTAAAAATCAATGTCCGGAACAAGGTTTTAGTTCCAGTGACGCCGCCCTCTTATCCCGCTGCTTTTTTCTGTCTTGCCCGTGACGCCGCCCTCTTAATTGGATCTATAGACATTCTAAAATTATTTATCTCGTTGAAACGTGGTTCGGAGAGGTGAATTGAATTGGGTGGTTTAAATTTGATCAAATAGACTCTGAGCAGGAGAAAGACGAAATCTTAACTCGTACGGACCGGATTGAAGACGATTTTGCGCAAAAAAATAAAAAAAGGTGAGTTAACGTCGGCAAGTGCCGTCGTACACTCCTAGAACGAATGAAAAATGGCACTCTTGCTACCCGGGGTATGGCACGCGGGTGGTCAAGCCAATGAGCTGAACTTGGACCGTGTACGCTCTACCCCTTGTGTGCGAGTGATTGGGCCACCAGGTTGGGCAGGTAGACAAGCCTCATCATGCCACACATTGTCAGTTGGAGTCGACATGCCGTGATGGGCCTGGGCCATATGGCCCAAGTGGTGGAGTGTGTGCCACAATGGGTGCGTCGGTGGTTGGGCCACTGGACTGCGGTGGAAGCATGTGTGCGATGCAGTCGGGTCAAACAAGCCACAGTGGCGTTCGCCCGTGCGAGAGGTGTCCGTGCATGGAGCGTATTGGCCATACACGTGCCGGTCGTGTCTTAGGGCTGCCCCTGACACATCTAGTTAGAGAAATTCAAATAATCAATTTCCTTTTAACTAATTTTAAAATACATATTAGCGATTGGGTGGATAAGATACTAATACAATTTCTATAGTTCAATCTAAAAAAGACCATCGTTCACTCTTTCACTTTAAAATTCGTGGAAATTGTTGAAGTGCACTAAAAAAATAGATAGCTCGATTGATAAATAAATATATTTTGAGGGAGACACAAAAAGTGTGGTGAGGGAATTCAATTTCAAAGTTCAGGGAGGGGAACTAAATTTATATACCTACCTTCTAGTTTTTTTTTTTTTTAAATCAACTTTTTTGCTATCTACTCTATATTTAAGAATGAACAAAGAATTAGATGGTAAATGGATTTCATTATTTTTAAATAATCCAAAATCTCAAAAATTGTTACAAAATATTTTTTGAACAAAGAATTAGATGGTAAATGGATTTCTTTTTTTTTTCTTTTAACGAAAATAATATCAGACACAAATTTAAATGATCTGTGGCATGGAAAGTGGAACTTCTGGTGGGGAGATGAGAGAAACAGTTTCTTATTAGATTTTCAAAAGTTGCATCACATTTTCAGATATGAGATGTTTCTTTAAAATAAAAAAAATAAAAACAAGATCCAAGAACATGAAATGCAATCAATCAAACTAAGTTTTCAAAAACAAGCCAAACTATACAATCAATTATCATTACCACTACATACACAAAGAAATGGTAGAAAGGTAAAAATATTCTTGGGATCATGTGTTTACCTTCTCTGGACTTGATCTATACTTGGAAATTTCAAATATGTACTAATTTCACACTTGCCTAATCAATGAACACAAGGGGCACCAGCATTCAACAGGCAAAATTAACCAGAAGTAATTAAACACACATCTTCCAGGCTCAATATTTCCCACAATCAGGCAGCATTTTGCTAAACTCAAGGGAGCGTTTAGTAGTTGCCTTTTCAATTCAATAATATTTTTATGCCAAATCCTACGAGACCAGAACACACTATGACTATACTACGTTGGAGCAGTAATATCAAATGCAATACTGCTCTGTTTAGTTGCAGAGATCGGATTTCAGAGAAGCCCCCTTCTTCTCTTGTAGTCGCTTACGGTCAGTGTCAGAGCGTGCCTCCTACCGTCGTTCTCAGGGACTTGGCGTCCAACCGTGGCTTCTATCCTCTGTTTCCTTGCTAAGAACCCGGCCTGAGCTCCCTGGGGTCCACCAAACTTCTGAAGCACAGCCAAAGATATAGGCAGCTCAAAGTTGTGCAGCAAATTTGACTCCGTCCCTCCATCTACAGGAGCACTGGTATCAACTAACTTTCCAGCACCCGCAGCAGCTACCAAAGCTGCTGCTGTAGCTGCCATGCCAGCTTCTGCAATCACACCAGATCCTGTTCTATTACTCTCGGATGCAGGCATTAAATTATCGTTGTTGCCACCTGTTTCTGCAGCCCCATTTGCTTCACCAGCATTTGAAACATAGTAATTCCTCGACCTGGTCCATCTCCTTGAGAATGGATCATAACCGGCCTCTCCAGCTTTCAAATCTTTAACGGGTCTCAGTCCTGATGCATTTTTGAAGTTCTCCACCCTATTCTTCCTGTTCATCTCAGCTAACTTAATAGCCTTGGCATCTTTCATCTGCAACCTCCTGGAGGCCTCTAATTGCTGCAGTCTTGCGTTGATCCTCTCCACCTCAGCATCATCATTTTTGCTCAGGGCTACATCCATCTCTCTTCTCAGCCGGTCCTTCTCAGCTGCAATATTTAATGGCCTTGACGAGGCAGATTTTTTCTCCTGCAGCATCTGCTTCACTGTGGCGGCTGAGTAGACAAAGTTGTTGACTTTTTGTATGGCTTCCTTCTTTTCCAATATGTCCTGCTTGCTCAGCATCCGACCACCAGTTTGCTCTACCTCCTTAACCCACTGTTTATATTCATCCTCATGTGGAGGAGAGTCTGAAACCATAGCCATCTGCCACCTAGCGGCAGAACTTTCATTTCCCCAAATAACATTAAGATATTTATGTGTTGTTTTGTTCTCAAGTTTATACTGACGATCAGGTTCTGTTGCATCAACGTTGCGCACCAAGCAGAGCCTGTAGATAGACCCACTTCTTGATCTCCCAATTCCGACTCTCACAAAGCATCCAACAATCAACTCCTCAAAGAATGGCTCCATGAACCATTTACCAAGTTTCGATCTACGAATAGTAATTTCCTTGATATCTTCAAATGTTGGCCCATCTGAACCAGGCATGGATCTGTCATCATCACTATCAATCATTCCACCATCTCCTGTGGACCCTTCATCTTCACTTTGAAACCTACTTTCACTTTCACTTTGGCTAGAGCTACTCAAACTTGGAGCAGTGAATGACTTTCGTTTCATTGGTGAGAACCTCCGATTGTTTGCATTCCCTCTAGATGCATCTCTCAATTTGCGGTGAGCCTCTGGGTCCTGCTGCTTCAACCTTTTTGCACGCAATTCGTTTAAAGCATCATCTTTTGCAGCTGCTCTATCAGCAGATCTGGCTGATGATCGAATACGAGATGATGGGAGAGGTGGAGTCTCTTTTCGAGATGGGGCAGTCTTCCCTTTATCCATCTTAGCTCTCAAACTTTCATATAAATGCTTATCATTCTTCTTCGATGCTCTGTCTGACAGAATCATCTCCCTTTGAAGTTCAGACATACCAGCAAGCTTGCGCCTGTCATCATCGTCTTTGTAAAGATCATCTCCAACATCAGATTCATCACTGCTGTCACCCTCACGATCTGAAGCACCATCCTCGTCATCCCCTTCTTCTTGGCTGCCCACATCATCATCTCTTTCAGTAGGATCTAACCTCTTCTTCAGAGGAACCTGAGATCCAGAAGGCTTCCTACTTGCATAACCCCGATCATCATCTGAGTCATCATCCCTAGAGTCACTGCCGGCATCAGAATATGAACCCTCGCGCTGTCGTCGAGATGGTGGATGAGAGTGTCGATTTCTCCCTGTCGCATTAGTTCTTCCTGCAGCCTCCAGAAGTAAATTTTCTAAATCTGCCATGTTTTGCAGCATCTACTACCAAGTTATGTGACTCCTGTCGCTGGACCTCCCCTCCTGAAAAGGTAGCAAGACTTCATAAGGCCAAGAATTGATACAGCTCAAAATCCATAGTCAGCACCTTGCAAATCAGGGAATTCTATAAAGAAAAAATTACCACCAAAATGTAACTAGGAAATATAAGGCACCTCCACATCTCCATCTAAATGAAACACAAGTATCACCCAAAAAAAGAGTGAGAAGCTGAAATTTACAACTGGAAACTGAACAACTGGTTAAGAGATTGGGATTAGAATTTGATCAGTAGTTATGAGAAATTCTCTCCCTCAAAGATTACTTGATGAAAAATTCATTGAAAAGTCTCTAGTCAATTTTCAAACTGTAAGGGCTGTACAAGGGTTGGGCTGAGTCAGTGATACTGATAGAAACTAGAAATATTGTTTAAATTGAAGAAACTACCATATAGGTAGGGTACTATAATTTAGGAGGCTATCTGTCTGCCACAAATCAATCTCATCCTCCACCACCTTCCATATTTGTAATTATAACCTCCTGCCCAAGGCTAACAAACTCCTCCTTCATACTCATAGTCCAACCTTGCTAACTCAAAAGATAGCTACCGCCTCCATAACTCACTCCTATTACTTGTTTTATTGAAACAAACTCATAACTGCCTCAGATGCCCAATACTACACATCCCCAATGGCCCAAGCATTACCCCATCCTCAAGATAGTGAACTTGATATTATAATTTGTCACAACTCCACGGCAGCTAATGTAACTTTAGTCATCAAAATCCAAAAAAGGGTTCAAGATAGCACCACCATCCACTAATAGGCCCCCTAACCTATCTCTCACTGCCATGCCGACGTCATAAGGAGGTAAAATGGTTTCATCGCTTTTGTCTCTTTCCCTATTCCCCTGACAGTATAATGATATTCTCAAGTTATGATGTTGCAACCAAAATTTTAGCACATCTCCTTCATATATTTTTCCAGAAGCAAAAGGAAGCCAGTAGGCCCTGCACCTTCAGCAGACAAATCTTCAACACTCATTTTATGTCTAATTTTGCCTCGTTGATCTTTACAATGGCAAGGCCTGTGAAAAAGACCTAGAGTCCCAATTTCTCACTTGATGAAGCTACAATCTAGTTGAAGGTAATCCCCCTTCATTCTCACTTCTCTTTGTCAATTCACACCCATTACCCCCCCAGCCCGTCTCAAGTACTTCAAAATGGGCTTTGTTGTCCACCTCAAATGTCATCACAGGCATGTAAGTTTCCTATCCCTGGCTCCCTCATCTTCTCTGCAACATTCTATGGGTGGTCGCTTTAATTTGGGGAAGAAAAAGAAAAGAAAGGTGTTATGTGAGTGGGGGAGCTACAGTGCTGACCGAAATTCGGAGAAAAGGTCAAAAGTCCTACCATTCTCTTCCTTGGATAACTAGTAGAAATTACATGGGCTTCGTATCTCATCAGGGCAAGAATGAACAGATCACAACAACCAAACATTTAATTACACCAGCACGTGATGTCACTCATAAGAACTCAAGAGAAAATTAAAACAAAAACGAGTTAAAACGAATATGAGCTTATCTCATAAAGCTAGCAGGATGGAGTTATAAAATCTCCATACCAGCAAGGAGGGAGTTCTAAAATCTCAACATACCAGTTGGGTTCAGTCAGTAGTCTGTAAAATATGTTAGAGACCAGTAAAATTTCCACTTTGAAAACTAATTTTTGCCTAGTTCAATATTTACAAACCAATGTCTCCTAGAACTCAATCAACACTGCAACCATCACGAGTCTCACGACTTCATCGATTACAATAGCGATGACATCGCCATAAATCATATTCGCACGAATCAAAGCAAACTTAGGGCATGGAACAAATGAAACCCATAATTTTCTTTCTTCCAAACAACCAATATTGATAGCTGTAAGACTGCCGTGACCATCTTCCAAGGGTCGAGGGGAGTCAAATCGTGAAGAAATGCCGATATGGAAATGAAGACCTAACGAAATCGAAAAAACAACATCGAGTGCTATATGACAGCCATGAGAGACTGAAGGAGAGCGCGATCGAGGCAAGGAGACATTTGGACCATAAAACATCGCGAGAGGATGAGAAAAAATCCGGAGATCGAACAATTAGAGACATTGGATTACCTTGAGAGAGCCCTTGACCTTAACCCGTTGATGGCCCGAGAGATAGACGGGTTGACGAGGAAGATAGATCTGGTGCGGAGCTACAAGAGAGCAGGTTTTTCCAGGATGAACTTCGTGCGCCGTGAAATCTCAGAAGGCAGACAACGCTGGGCACTGAGCGTATAATTTTTCCCCTTTTCTTTTTTATTACAATTTTTGTCCCCGAATCATAGTCTTTTAATTGATTGAGAGTGCATATAATTTATAAAACATAAATTTTGAATTTTTTGTTTTTAAGATTGTTTAGATTTTAATCACGCAAAATAAACTCATGTATATAAATAGTATTTATAAACGTGGATAATTAATATATATCTATCAGGTGAATTTAATGACTAAATATTGTATTTAAAGGAATGAAAAATAATATTTATAGACTTCAATTAAAAACCAAGTAATCAAATAGTACAAAAAGGTGAAGTCTTTGAGTTTATTGACTTTTCCTATTTTAACTATTTACTCCTAGATATTTATTACTCTAATCAATAATGGTCAAAGTAGCGTAACTTAAAATGAATTTTCCGCTTTCTCATTGTATTAAAATAATAAAAAATAAAAACTCAAGATAGTTATTTAAATTATATATGTTTGGAGAATACTTATATCAACCGTCAAAAAAAGATAGAATATGTCATCAAATAAATAGAATAGAAGGAACAAACTATAAATTTTTAATTTATTCCTTGTATTTTCCTTAGAAAATGTTTATTTTGGTACTAGTATTTTTAAAAAATTGTCATTTTAATCAATTTTTACAAAAATCTAACATGAATTTTACATCTAACGAAAACTCTTTAGTATAAAGTAATACTTACATATTAAAAAGTATATTGATTTTAGTGTCGTGTTGAGATTGTGATAAAATAGTCACTTTTTAAAAGTTGATTAAGATGAACTGTAGAATAATTAATAGGAACAAAAAATTAAAGATACAATGATCAAAACGAAACTTAGGAACCAAATGAACAAAAAGTTATTTAGTAACTAAATTAGTATTTTAAAGTCAATTACCGTAAATAATCTTATATAACTAAACAAAAAAGAGAAGAGAAGTATCGTCGTATCGACGCGGAATTAATCATAGAGTAAGATAAAAACTAAAAAATCATGGGTCCTTAGAGACTTTGAGGGTGATATTTGATAAAAAGAAAATGAGGTCGGATATATTTGGTCCATTGGGAAGAACAATCGAAGATGTTCTAATTGAGACGACGAGATGGTGCATAGTGCCTACGATTCCTTCGAGCTACTCAAAGATAATCCCTCCAAGATCGAAGCCATCGTTTCTTACGGTTCCAAGCTCTTCATCGGCTGCTCAGATGGATCTCTTCGCATTTACTCCCCGGAATCCTCCGGCTCCGACCGCTCTCCGCCCTCTGAATTCCACTCCAAGTCCATGGAGCTGCAGAAGGAACCCTATGTACTCGAGAAGAACGTGACGGGATTCTCTAGGAGGTCTTTGTTGTCAATGGAGGTCATTGATTCGAGGGAGCTCCTTTTGACTCTATCTGAATCAATCGCGTTCCACAAACTTCCCAATTTGGAGACCCTAGCCGTGATTACCAAGGCCAAGGGTGCCAATGCGTATTCCTGGGACGATCGTCGAGGTTTCCTCTGCTTCGCCAGGCAAAAGAGGGTCTGTATTTTCAGACACGATGGTAATTATCCATGAAATTAACGTATTTTTTTGCAGTTCGTGAGTTTGACTTGAATTCGGTTTTGAAAGCAGCATTTCAGCGGTTAATGTTTTAGCTTGAATTGTATTTCGTGGAATAGAATTAACCTTTCCCAGTTTCAAGTTATGGAGTCTCAATTCCCGTTCTTTTGCGTTTGTTCAGTTACTCGACAATTGAAAGCAACATTTGCCAAGAATTTCTATATTAAAATTATCGATCTTCGAGATGTATTTATAATTTAAAGTAGGAAAGTTAAGATGTTCTTGGCATTGTAGGGGGACGAGGATTCGTGGAGGTAAAAGAATTTGGTGTCCCTGACATAGTGAAGTCAATGTCTTGGTGTGGAGAAAACATATGTTTGGGAATTAAAAGAGAATACGTGATTTTAAATGCTACCAGTGGCGCATTGACTGATGTATTTCCACCTGGGAGGTTAGCTCCGCCTTTAGTAGTCTCGCTACCCTCTGGAGAACTTCTTCTTGGGAAGGTATGTTTCTCCTTTAATTTACACTCTTAACTTCCGTTGCTTATGTGTTTGTCAATAGAATGGAAGGTTCGGTTTAATGGATGAAACATGAACCTGCATACCTTCTTTTAGAAGTACTGATTTAAACTTGATACTCTAACTTCAAAAGGCCCTTGAATTATGGGATTCTCATGATTCATTAACACCATGTTCCCATGTTAGCCACTCATATATTTTGTGTAGGTACTACTTGGCTACTTCATAGTTTGCATTTACTAAAAAAAATTTCGTTATTTTTTAAAACTTATCAGTCGAGTTAGTTTACTGAGGAAGAGGTTTACTAATATGTGGAAGAGAAGAGGAGATTCTAAAAATATATTATAATACCATTTTGATTGCATAGACAACCGATGAGGGTGCATACAGAACTGAAATGCGCTAAAAATACATTATTTTGTCAGAAACAAATTTCCCTGAACAAATGAAATTACAAGGGTGTGGGGAGCCTCAACCCAAAACAAGCAAGATTACAAAAAAAATCCTACACATGGTAAGAGTTTAAACCATAATTACTATTTACTGAAAGGATCATATAACATACACCAAGTAAGAGTAACGAGGTGATGATTTCCTAAAAATCCCAAGAGGTTTCTCTTCTTCTTCTTCTTCTTCTTCTTCTTTTTCTCCTTTTTCTTATTTTGTTGGATAAGAAAATTTTCTCTTTGTTGTTAAATATCTTTCTATTTCCATCTAGTCGAATGATAAACAAAAAGTTATAACTAGCTGCATTTGTAGATTTCTTTTCCATTCAGCTTGAAAGGGCGACCTACAAGAGTAACAAAAATGAGTTAATTGATTCCCTGGGGAGGGAAATTTGTTACTTAGAAGAGAGGACAATCTTGTTCCAGAAGTGAGCAAGAAGAGGAATCAACACAAGAGGAGATGACTTTTTAATTCATCGTCCTTTTTGCATATAAACCACGAAGTTGGAGAGCACTGCCCAATTAGGGTGTCTACTGCAAGATACCATATTAACTACATAATGCATGCTAATAAGATTGCAATGTGTTTGAGAGATGACTTATGAGAGGAGAATGGAAGTTGTGATTGTTTTTCATGACTTTTCACTAACAAAGTTGTATTTCATAAAAAACATATATATATATTTTTACAGAAAGACCAAGTAAAATGATAAGTAGAGTGAAATTTGCGAAAATTTTGAATTTGGATTTCAGAATAGGTATACAGCACTGATCCAAGCAATACTAATATACGCAATTATTCATGTATGAGTATGCACTTCTTTTAGTAGACAGGTCGGCTTGTTTTCTGGCATGTTAATTTTAGTCCAGCAGTTAGCGAATTTTTTAACCTCAATTTATGCTGCATATGAACTGAAAAAAAAAAGTAATAATGTATAACATTAGCAGTCATTTCCTTTAAATGTACAAGGAATCGACACCTTACATCTCACCTTTAGGATAACATTGGCGTTTTTGTGGACCAAAATGGGAAACTTCTTCAAGAAGGTCGAATTTGTTGGTCAGAGGCACCTTCTGTTGTTGTCATACAGAAGCCCTATGCAGTTGCTTTGTTGCCAAGATATATTGAGGTATCTTTGATCCATTGTAAGCAATAAAAAACCCCTACATTATTGAAATCCCTATATGTGATTCTGTTATTTAAATTTGCAGATTCGGTCCCTTCGGTCTCCATACGCATTGATACAAACCATTGTCCTTCGAAATGGCCGGCATCTTATTCACAGTAATCACGCTTTGGTTGTTGGATTAGGCAATTCTGCTTATGGCCTGTTTCCGGTTCCTCTTGGTGCTCAGGTGATCTTCAGCCCATATGCAAGATTGCGTTAATTATGAGTGTTTGTAGTTTGGGGCATCTGTGTTCATGCCGTTGATTGTCAGTAAGTGAAATATGCATAAAATTAGATTTCTAGGCCCAACTGATAACCATTTAGAGTAAGTTTATAAACACTATTTCAACTGATGTGTTTCTTTATTTTGTTATCTACATTTTAAATCTAAGCTAAAATTTGGAAACTCTAAAAGTAATTTTTAGGCTCCGATAACAATTATGTTTTTTATTTTTTGTTTTTGAAAATTACGCTTGTTTGCTTACAATTTATTTGGTATGTTTTCACCTTTTTGCAAAAACACATTTGAATTCTTAGTCAAATTTCAAAAAACAAAAACTACTTTTTTAGTTTTCAAAATTTAACTTAGATTTTGAAAACATTCTTAAAAAGTAGATCGCAAAACAAAGAAATACATGGGTATGCATGAGTATGGGTAAAAGCGGTGTTTACCAGCTTAATTTCAAACAAGGCTTTAAAAACTTGTTTTTATTTTTGAAATTTGGTACAGAATTCAAATGTGTCTACTAAGAAAAGTAAAAAAATACCAAAGAAATATGAGGAAGTTAACATAATTTTTCTAAAAACATATAATTGAAACAAAATTGTTATGAAATGGAGCCTTAATGATTTAATTACAATAGTAGTAATTTCAATATTTTAGGCACTTTCATCTATCTTGTGTTATTAAATAGATTTTAAATGATTATTTGGTTTGTATGCTCTACAATTTGCATATGGCACAAACATCTTTTTCCGAGGTTTACGTTCAAGAAATTGTCATTTGGGTTGCAGATTGTACAATTTACAGCATCTGGTAACTTTGAAGAAGCATTGGCTTTATGCAAATTACTTCCACCTGAAGATTCAAGCCTCCGATCTGCAAAGGAGAGTTCAATCCATATTAGGTGGGTAGTCCTAGTAAAAAGCTACTGCCGTGATTTTTTTCTATCCATTTTAGAAGTGAAAACACTGTTTGGTACTGGTAATCATCTTATTTATTATTAATTTTTTTTTATAGGAAACCATATAAAATTTTTATTATAGATTTGAAAAGTACAAAAGATCTGGTCTGAACCCCAGAAAACCGTAGAGCTTACAGAAGGAGCTCAAATTGGAACAAATCAATAAAGAACTAAACCAAGTAGAAGCAAAAAGTTCAGCTCTTTCCCAAATTTTCTACCAACTTCTACATTTATCATTAGAAATTCTCCGATATCTAACCACTTATCTCAAAGCATGGCCAGGACTGCATAGTTCATGGGACCTTTGACTTCCTTTTAAAAACTAACATAACATAATTTATTATCAACTTACTCTTTTGTTATGCAAGGGGAACACCAATTCAGCCAATATATTGAAGTAATTCGTTCCAACGTTTTAAGCTAAGGAGCACCATTATGATTCTCTTCATTCTCATACCAAGTACCATGTCTCAATCACATAAACCGAGCGAGCACTTGGTCAGATGGAATTGGAAATTCCCAACAAGGAGGAATTGGCGTGGGCTCCCTTCAACAAAGAAATAAGGCTCTTCTTATCAAATGGTTTTAGAGATTTGCCCTGAGTGAAGCGTCTGGCGTAAGGTTGATGTCGCCATTTACAGGGTGGATTCAAATGGGTGGATGACAAAAAGTACCAAAGGCTCTTCTCTTCAATAGGAAGATCGTGGATTGATGTTGACAGCAATAGAAAGGCTTTTCTAAGCTTTGTGATCTTTAAGGTCTCTGATGGAATAAGGGTGCGATTTTGGGAGGATGCTTGGGCTGATTCTTCTCCTCGTTCAACTATTTTTCCTGATTTTTGTGGCCTTTCTTCAAAAAAGGGGAAGACGTTAGCAATTAGCATAGTGTTGGGATGAAGTGGCTCTTACGTGGAATCTCGGGATCCATAGGTATCTTTCTGAAAGAGAGATTGATAGGTGGGCCATTATTACAGAGAAGCTGGACTTTGTCTTGCTAGGGTAGGGAAAGATAGAATTTGGTGGAAAGCAGATAGTATTGACTCCTTTACAGCCAAGTCGGCTTTTCTATCCCTTAAGTCTCTCTTTCTGAAGTTGAAGGCCCCCACAGCTAACTTCATCTAGATTTTAGAGTTCCTAAGAACATCAAGGTCTTCATGGACTTTGTTTTGCGGAGAGGTGAACACAACCGATAGACTTCAGAGGAGATTTCCTCACTGGGTACTCTCTCCTTCCATGTGTGGCTTGTGTAAGTGCAGTGAAGAAATGGTGGATCATCTCTTCTTTCATTGTTTGTTAGCTTCTAAGGCTCAGGTTTTTGTATCTCCAGAATTGGGTATTTCTCTCTGCCTCCCTCGGAAAATTGATGACTTCATAAAGGAAAGTTTTGGTGGAGCGTCAAAGTGTTTTTTTTGTGGAATTGTGCATTTGGGGCCTTGCTTTGGCTTCTTTAAAAAGAAAGGAATAGTAGACTTTTTGAAGTAAAAAGTCCTTAAGAGGATTTTGTTTTATGAATTTACAGCATCTTGCTTCTTGGTGGGCCCCCAACCACAAGAATTTATATTGTAATTATAGTTTGCATATGATATCAAATGATTGGAAAGTTGTGATTGTATAGTCCTTAGGGGAGGATGACCTCCACCCTCTTCCTTTAGGTTGTCTTTCCCTTCTCTTCGAGGGTTATTTTGAATATATTGTTCTAGTTTCTTATTAAAAAAAAAAAAAGAAAAAATCTCCTACCAAGGACACACCAGTTTGGAATAAGGGCACCATAGGATGTTTTTTTTTCCAAATTCTATCAGCTCTATTAACTCCACCCAATTGGGCTGACCATAAAAAGAGTATAAACTGCTTAGGGTTCTCTTGTTTCCAACTAGCCTTAGTCAAGTGGCTTCTTGAGACACTATTGGTAGCAGTGAGGTGTGGAACACAGATTTTCCAAAGAAAATACCCGACCCATTCCAAACTCCATCTTCTAGTGTCCCTTTTTGTTGATATGCCGAATATCACAAATCATCTTCATCAAGTTTGCCTACTCTTCCGCATTCTCATCATTTAAATTTCTTCAAACCTGTAGCAGGGAGCAGCAGCCTGCCATCCTCCTTCCGCCATGCTCATTGCAAGGTTCTTCGACATCATATCATGTAACTTTTATGCTATATAAGCTTAGTTTGGGATATACTGCATTGCATTATTACAATCATTATTTATTTACTTTTATGAGAACTTTACAAGACCTGTCAATGTTCTTTCCTATAACTTCTATTAGAAATTGTTAAAATTTGTGGTGTCTTATATTTCAGATATGCTCACTATCTCTTTGATAATGGGAGTTATGAGGAGGCAATGGAACATTTTTTGGCATCTCAAGTGGATATAACCTATGTGCTTCCCTTTTATCCTTCAATCGTCCTTCCTAAGACAACTTTGGTCACTGAAACAGAGAAGTTGATGGACTTGACTTTGGATGGCCCTCATCTTTCAAGAGGTTCTTCAGGTTTTTCAGATGACATGGAGTCACCTCCACACCAGCTAGTGGAATCTGATGAGAACGCCACATTGGAGTCAAAAAAGATGAACCATAATACTCTCATGGCTCTAATCAAGTTCTTGCAGAAGAAAAGACACAGCATCATTGAAAAGGCTACTGCTGAAGGGACAGAAGAGGTAGTATTAGATGCTGTTGGAGACCGATATAAGAAATCTTACAAGGTGAAGTCCTGATGCATTTGTTTCTTTGTGTATGTTATGTTGTGTTTATTTATTTATCTTTCTGTTGGGCGAATTATGTTCTGGTATGAGTTATTGTGATTAATTTCTTACTCCTGTAAGTAGTTGAGATTCCTTTCAACGTTTGGATTTTATATTTATGCAGTTTTCTATGACTGTGAAAGATGTCAACTGTGTGGGATGGGGGACAACTTTCAAGAAATGAGTAGATCTTTGTCTGTAATGATTTACAGGTTTAATGAAATTTATATCGATTACTGATGATCAGAAATTATCTTTGGTCTGCAGGGACGAGGGAACATTCCTATAAGCTCTGGTGCTAGGGAGATGGCTGCAATACTGGATACAGCACTACTTCAAGCTCTGCTTTTTACAGGACAATCACTTGCAGCTTTGGAATTACTAAAAGGCCCTAATTACTGCGATGTTAAAATATGTGAAGAGATCCTTCAGAAAAATAATCATTACTCCGCACTGTTAGAGCTATATAAGTGCAATTCCATGCATCGTGAAGCTCTTAAACTTTTGCATCAATTAGTAGAAGAATCAAAGGCTAACGAGTCTGAACTTATCCAAAAGTTTAATCCTGAAATGATCATCGACTATCTTAAGGTAAGTTTTCCCAACCACTTGGAGACATCTAATTTTTATGGGATTTTTAATATTCAATCCATCATGTTAGTTTTCACAGGTGACTACAATGGCTGTATTTAGATTGTAGATTGTTTTAATGTTTTAATAGGGTATTATGATTAATAATTTGGAATTTAAGATTCGGTTGTCACTTGTCAGCTTGTAGTGCAACATTGATTCCATATCTCATGATGTGGCAAGGGCATTAACATCCAAAGCAAAATGGAGAGTGTTCGCTTCCTTTTAATAGGAAGATGTAAAACTATTACTAAATCTTTGAGATCTAAGTCTAGAACCACATCAGGCTTTATGGTTATTATTTATGTACCCAGCATGCTTCACAATTCAAATTTACTTGGCCCGAGACTGTATAGCCACCATTGGTGGTATGGCCGTGGTTTTTTTCAATTAATTTGTGTTAAATTATTCTGGATTAACTACTATTAATTTTTTTAGTTCAAGTCAAAACTGCCACTACTAAATTGTGTGCTTGTTCTTGAGGGTGAAGGGGGCTAGACTTTAATATTTTAATATTCTCAGATGTTTAAGAATTTGATAATTATTAGTTTTGTTTATTATTGAGTATATAATAACGTTTGACACAATTTTTCATACAGCCACTTTGTGGAACTGATCCCATGCTAGTTCTGGAATTCTCAATGATTGTTCTTGAAAGCTGTCCCACGCAAACTATTGAGCTTTTTCTTTCCGGAAATATTCCAGCAGACTTGGTCAATTTCTATTTGAAGCAGCATGCTCCTAACTTGCAGGCAACATATTTGGAACTTATGCTTGCAATGAATGAGAGTTCAATATCTGGAAATCTCCAGAATGAAATGGTAAACACATATAGAGTTACTTTGCCGAGTTCGACAGGACTCTATTTCATGTCCTCATATATGACATTTACTTTTTTCCATTCATGAGATAAAAGTTCCCAAAACAGTAAATGCAAACCCAAGTGAATCTTTTGTACCTACGGTTGATTGGAACTGATCATGATAGCCTTTCGTTGATTCGGAATGATACTGATCATCAAAATAATGTCTTGCAGCTTCAAATATATCTTTCAGAAGTACTTGACTGGCATGCAGATTTAAGTGCTCAACATAAATGGGATGAAAAAATTTACTCCTCCACAAGAAAGAAGTTGTTGTCTGCTTTGGACTCTATCTCAGGGTATCATCCTGAGGTTCTATTAAAACGTCTTCCTTCTGATGCATTATATGAAGAACGAGCAATCTTGTTGGGGAAGATGAACCAACATGAGCTAGCCTTATCTCTCTATGTACACAAGGTATCTTCAACTGTTTGAACTAGAGTTGCATTGTATGCTTTCTCTTCATTGCGGTTAGCAATACTTGCAAACAGCTTACTTCTTTTGTTTCTGTTATCTAATATTTCTTTTATACTAGTTCAAAACATTAAAATATTTTTCTCCATTTCTTCTAGATCCATGTTTCTGAGTTGGCATTGTCCTATTGTGATCGGGTTTATGAATCTGTAGCTTACCAGCAATCTACAAAATCTTCTGGCAATATATACCTGACTCTTCTACAAATATACCTCAACCCCCGCAGAACAACAAAAAATTTTGAGAAGAGAATTACGAATTTAACATCGCCTCAAACTATGGGCACTCCAAAACTTGGTTCCGGTCCTACATTTAAGGTTAAAGGAGGCCGTGCAGCCAGGAAAATTGCTGCAATAGAAGGTGCAGAAGACATGAAAATAAGCCATAGTAATACCGACAGTGGCAGGAGTGATGGTGACACAGATGAAATGGGTGAAGAAGGAAGCTCTTCAATTATGCTTGATGAAGCTCTGGATCTGTTGAGCCAAAGGTGGGACAGAATTAATGGAGCGCAGGCACTCAAACTTCTACCTAAGGAAACAAAATTACAGGTACTCGTTCTGTCATTAGACATCTTAAAAGAAAGAATTAACCAAAAAGATACTAGTACTCAACCCATGTTTATGTGTGTGAACCTAAAACATCTCATCTCATCTCAAATTGTTTCTTGATATAACCGTCTCACTGCCAATTTTTGCTTGCTAGTTGAAAAAATTATGTGTAAAAAATTGTTTCTTCTTTTTAATTCAACAGTAATTAAATAATAATGAGCTGGTAAGTTGTTATTGTTGTAGTTTTATGATACAATTGATTTTATATATTAATTCATCAATAATATTCAATAGTTGAAAATGGGTTTAGAAGAATAGATATTTATGAACAAGAAAATTTTAAATAATTGATTTTATATATTACGGGTAAGAGGGGTTTAAAGTGAAGCCAACAGTTTCTTTCCTTTAAGCCTTCCTCATGATACTGATTTAGACAGTTATTTAACAATATTTTTTCGAACTTCATATAAAATTCTGAATTAGTTAAATAGTAAATTTAAAACTGGTTAAAGGAGGTTAAAGAGAAATCCGAACTCCCTTGAATTTGATATACATGCTTCCAGATCAATTTCTTTGCAGTTTCATCATTAGCACTCTTCTTTATTCCTAAAAATGCAGAACTTGCGTCAATTTCTTGGACCACTTTTGAGGAAATCCAGTGAGGCGTACAGGAACTCATTAGTGATAAAGAGTTTGCGACAGAGTGAAAACTTGCAGGTATGCACCGAACTAGAAGCAAGATGAGTTTATAAATGATGCCATTCCACTTTTTTTTTGGGGGGCATCACAATTCCCATCCCAGATTGCATAGCTTGATTTCATTATTTGATCGACTTGCTGATCATTCGAATCACATGGTAATCTATAGAACTTGATCCCATATCTTGACATGGTAGATGCTTTTATTTAGAGTTTAGAAAGAAATGGTAGAAGAAATGAATCTCAAACCTCCCAAATGAAAATCACATAGTAATTTATCGAATTTGATCCGGTATCTTAACTTGGTAGAACTTTCTTAGAGGTTAAAAAGAAATTCTACTAGTAATGGTCCTCTGAATCTACTAGAAGACATTTCGAGGTACTGCTATCCCTCTCTGTTGATCTAAGCTGTACAAGATTCTCAAACACTTTTACTGTCTGCCTATCACTCTCTCTCCTTTTACGCCATTGATTGGCTAAAAATGAAAAATGGACACAAACTACTCTTCCCTCACTAAGCACTCATCTCGACCACCCAAATACTGATGCCATTCCAGGTGTCATGGTTGTACTACTTTTGCTTTTTCTCGTGCAGGTATTATTCTTTTGAGACATCCTATGTTCTCTTGTTGCTGAAGCAGGACATTTGTCCTCCGGATGAGTCCAGCCAAATTCTTTTATTCCTAAAATAGCACTTTGAGCAAATCCTCCACCTGTTCCTATTCCATTCTGTGCTGGTTTTCTCGAAGTTCAATCTTCTGTTCCATGTTGACTACTCTTACTCTCACCTTCTTTTCCCCGGACATGGCTCAGTGATGATGATATATTATCATTTGATAGATCCCTTCTGTTTTATAGAGAGAAAAAAAATCCCTCCACCAGCGAATTTCAAACTCTTCGAAACACCCCCCAACCATTGTCCCCATATGCGATTATCAAATAAACTACATCCTCTAAGTGATATGGAATTATGAATCAGGGGAATTGTGGTCTGCATCAGCCACTCCCTAAATCGAAATTCACCCTCAGCTTGTTGTGCTTGCTGAGTTTTGTTCATCCTCACACAAGTGACGAATAATTGATCCAGAGCCTAACATAATATCATATTGTTTCATAACAGTGCCTCATATCCGACCTATTCCTATGATACTTAATGTGAAATTAACCTGACTTTGATATGGCATAAAATTATGTGGAACAGGTGAGAGACGAACTCTACAACCAAAGGAAACCTGTGATAAAAATAACTGGTGATAGCATGTGCTCCCTTTGCAAGAAGAAAATTGGGACGAGCGTTTTCGCGGTCTATCCCAACGGGAAAACTCTCGTGCATTTCGTCTGCTTTAGAGACTCGCAGAGCATGAAGGCTGTGTCCAAGAGTTCACCCCTTAGGAGGCGTACATAAACAATGTATTGGCTTTCTCCTCTTTAGCTACCAAACACAAAATAAAGCTCTGACAGGGAAACTGACAAAACAAGTGTCAAAGGAAATTCTTTCCTTTTCATTACAAGGGAAATACTGCTGGTGTGGAAAACTTGGAAAGTGGCATGGAGAGTATTTCATTTGTGTCATTCATGGGATGGGGTTTTTATTTTCTAAATTTATTCGTGAGTGTCCGGACCAGCTTACTTGTACGGTGTACCTCGATCGATCTCACGAGACAACCACCTGACCTTACTACATTTGGGTGTATTTATTTACTATAATATCCTATTTTTTTCCAATTGGGTGAAGAATGTGAAGTTTGTATTTATTATTATATGAGGGTTTTGATTTCTTTCTTTCATTTGTATTTATTTTGCTGTAAAATATTTCAAGTACAACATGAATGAGAGAGCAAAAGATCTTTCATCTTACTGTGATAATGTTATACAATTATTCAACTTACAACTTCTTAATTGGAGATATATATCAATTATTTTTGACTTATGTTCGTTTTGACATAACAAGTGTAGTTGACGTTGAAAGGAGATGAGATTAAATATATTAAAAAAATAATAATAATGGCATGGAGAAACAATTAGAAAAATTAAAGGGAGGGAAATTACCAAGAAACCTCATCAACCGTGATTGGTATGTATGGCAATAGCATAAGAGGGAGAATGTATAGTAATAGTATAGGAGGGAGAGAAATTGACATTATTGGGATAAGAAATAAAGTTAATCTTTTATATATTGGTCAGTCGATCGATTTTTACTCTTTTTGTCTGTGGACCAACTGGTTCACCAGTTGGTTAGCCGAAAATCGATCGGCCAACATCGGTTCGATCCATCGACTTGGTCTTTTAAATAGGCCTATATACACCTATATACGTTGGTAGGGATTTGAATTTCCAACATTTTGGTCAATAATATACGTGACTAGTTAAGCTATCCATACGTTGGTGGAGTACTTTATGCAAATGATTTCGTCTTTACAACTATAATGAGATAACAATATTGTTTTCACTTGGAATTTACTTTATTGTTCAAATCAGCTTAGATTGTTTATAGTTTTGATAATAATGCCAGTATGAATCTAGATGTGATTAAGGCGTACTCTTTATTTCTTAGAGATGGGAGGTCGAATACTCTCCATTTTCACATGGGTTATACATTTGTTATACTCCATCTTCATATTGACTTTTTTTTCCTTTTTTGAAAAGTCATATTGAAAATAATAAATATGCAAAATTACAAGTAATTTTAGTATCTAAGTATTCTTTAAAAAAATAATATTACATTAAAAACTAGAGGAGAGGATTAGCCTGCAACTATAAAAAGAGACAATAAATGGAACTTACATATGCCTAATTTCAAAAGAAGAAACCAATTAAATATCTAGCGTTGTGATGGTAGAAAGAATTTCATATTACTAATACTCAAACCCCAAATTTATAAATCTAATTTATACTTCACATTCCCAAGATTTCACCCTCAAAACATAGGCCTCTGATTTCCAAACTTCCGATTCTTTTGCTTCAAACATAAATGAGGCCTACCCAAATTTGAAATTACCCTTCACATTCTTATGGTTTCAAATTCTACGCTTTAATGCAGGAATTTGGTTTTGGTCATCGGTGCACACAAATAAATAAATAAATAAATATATATATATATATATGCAAATTGGTGTGGGGCTAAATTCAACACACTCTAATACCTAAGTTAGAAAAGAGTTTCGATGAGAATAGCAAAAAAGTAGAGTTGCAAGAATCTCACGTTCAGATATCTCCTCTTATTTATAGAGGGAGCCTCTTTGAGTAGGTTCGGGTGGATCAATTCAACGAGATTTGGATCGACTCAAATTTGGTCTGATTGGGTGGTTCGACCCGAATAGTTTGATCAAAGTGGCTTTACTCATATCGCTTCTTTAGCCTCAATTGATGGGGTAATTTCATCCCTAATACTAGAGTTCAAGATTCTTTGTCATCCAAGCAACCCCTAAGAAGGTAAAAATAATATTGTGTTTTAGGCCATTTGATTACAGCAATAAACTACAATAACTATTCAATAGAATTCTTCATGGTAGACAAGCTCGGAACCATATAGGTTTAAATACTATTTTGAATTCATTTCTATATTTCAAGAAACTTAGTTAGTGAAGTGTCGTAGTTCGAGATTCATGCCATTTCAATTTTTTTAAATAATTATCTTGGATAATATTGACCATCTTTTTTAATTAAATCATGGGCATTTATGCAATCTTGACTCGGATTTATGGAATGTTGGCTTTTATATATATATATATAATTAATTAAATCAATGGCATTTATGCAATCTTGACTCGAATTATGCAAATTCGATTTTCCAATCCTCAAATTAAAAAATTGAGACTTTTCCCCATTCGTAATTGAATCTTCAAATTAAAAAGTTAGATTTTTTTCCTATTAAGTTCGCAATTGATTTTTCAATTAAAAAGTTGAGATTTTTTCATATTATATTCAAATTAGAAAGAGAGGAGGAGGTTTAAAGTGAGAGATTGGTGGGGTGGACCTGGGGAATTTTGCTTTATTGAAAAAACGGACATATCTTACAAATTTCACAAAGATAAAAAGGTGAAAATGGATAAAAGATTAGAATGAAAGCATGTCACAAATAAATAAATTTTTGGAGGGAGAAGTAAAAAATCGGAATGGATCCATTATAAAATGGAGTCAGAAACCTCAATTTTTCGTCAAAAATCCAAATTGAACTCTTTCGGGGTAAAAAATGTCAATCTCGCACCTTAACCTTCGTTGAAGTAA